GACAGAACCGCCACTTAGTGACGCCCTGTCTACTGCATGTCCATGTGTTTTAGAAACCATAAGAATACAGTCCTAAATAATACAAAATGCAATATAGAATGTCAATGATATTTATTGTACACTAAAAGTTTCTGCAATACATACAGAAGCATGTGTCAAGATAGTTTAAAGCTCAACTCCAGACAAAACATTTTGGGATAGGCTCGTGAAAGGTCTATACTTTTGTTTTTACTATTTTCTGTTATCACCTAATTTCCTGCCCTTGTGACAGCTGGACAAGAGAGCAGTTGTCACTAGGATAAGAAGACGCAGACAGTTAGCGTCCTCACACTCCCCTGCATCCTGATCTACCCACATCTCCTATGTCATTTTCAGCTTTCTGAAGGTCAGGGCTAAGCAATCTCCCCTAAGTGACAACATACAAAACTGCCTGCTTAGACACCAAGTGGTAAAGTGGCCCCATGACTAAAATGATTTTTTTTCTCCAGGGGCTGAAGCAATGGATCAGAGCTGAACTTGATTCAGTTAGGCTGGGCACACACCTTACAACCACTTTTGTCTTGCGATGGTTGTAAGGTACTTAAAAAAACATACGATCTGCCTATCTTGCAAAGGCAGATCGTACTTGCGATGATCGCAAGCCACGTCCCCTGAGGGGCGGGCTTCCGATGACCGCAGTGCCGAACGGGCAGTGTGTGCTTGCGCACACCGGCCCGTCCGTCTTTTATCTTGCGAAAAAGGTTTTGAAGCATGTTCGTAAGTTTAAAGTCGTGCGACCTTACAGCAGTAGAGGTCGCACGGCTTCCACACACCTTACGATAATCGTACGATCACGGGATTTCCCGCGATTATCGTACGATTATCGTAAGGTGTGTGGGGACCTTTACATCTGACCTGTACTGTTACATGCAATTAGCCAATCAACATGATTGTTAACTGATCAGATGTCTAAAGCATTCAACTGCAAAACAAATAGTACATTTGCCTGCTTCAGTCCAATCACTTTCTATGTAAAACGTTTAATGGAAAAAGTACAAAGTTTATTAATTGTTGTATCCATATCCCAATGCCATTGGATTGAAAACAATCTGAATGCCCCATGCTCTTCTGGGGGGTCAGTTTCAAGTAGGGATGCATCGATATTGATACTAGTATAGGTATCGGTGCCGAGTAATTGGGCGAGTACTCGTACTTGCCCAAATGCTCCGATACGTACCCCCTATACCGGAACTTCTGTTCAGAGGGAGATTTCCTCTGACCGGCAGTGCCGTGGGGGAACATGGAGCCGGCTTCCCTGATTTGCCTGGAAGCCGACTCCATGCTTTTTGGCAGGCTCTGTGCTAAATGGCCGGGAAGCTGGCTTACCAGCCAATCAGCATGGAACCAGCCAAACAGCATAGAGCTGGCTTCTCGAGCAATCAAGAAGCCAGGCGGGGGGTAATGACACGTCTAGCTTTCTGATTGTCCGGGAAGCTGGCTCCATGCTAGCGGAAGTATCGGTGAGTACCGAAGGATAAATATCGGTACCGGTACTCGATACCGAAAAAAACGTTTTCGGTGCATCCCTAGTTTCAAGCATTCACTACTTTTTCAGTAAAACAATAATATCTTTTGTTAATCTTGAATTTTTTTTCTGGATGAGGACATGCCCTACATTTCTTGAGCTCGGGCTCATGTTGAAAATACTATGCTCCTCAACAAAATTTACACCTTTAACTCTTTTGCTGCCAGAGCCATCTTTGCGTTTTTTGCACACACAATAATCCTGCAAAGACTCCCCTGAGCCTTTCACAGATCCTGCACAGCCCCCCTGAGACCCTGCAGTCTCAGGGGGCTGTGCAGGATCTGTGGTGGGCTCTGCCCACCATAGACCTCGCAGAGCTCACCACAGATCCTGCAAAGCCCCCTTGGGACCCTGCAAAGCCCCCCGCAGATCCTGCAGAGCCCCCCTGAGACCCTGCAGGATCTCAGGACCGTGTCTTAGATCTGCCGCCCGAGGCAAATGCCTTGTTTGCCTCGCGGCAGATACGCCCCTGCGTATAGCATACACTATCACATAAAACTGCATCCTGGGTGCACTGGTGCCTTGCCATTCATTTCAATGGCACCCCCAACTCACCTCCTGGTGTGTGTTGCAGTGAAAAAAAGTAGTGCATGCATTA